GTAAAGCAATGCAAATCAAATAATATTATAGTGATCCACACTCTGCATCAGTAATTTCTGCAACAATAAAACAGGTACAAGATGAATAGGCGATCAAGTGATCAAATACATGACATAATAATTTTATAGGTGTATCTGCTCACTGCTTCACATTGGGAACTAATTTTATTATTTTTCTACCAGTACTGATTGACCCATTCTTGCTGCATTTATACTTGAGTTGCAATTACTCTACAACCTAAAGTCTCGAGATGAAACTCAAGAAACAGATAACATTTTCCCACTTGTCATCTTAACTGGGCAAAGCATTCTTCAAATTTTTTATTTTTCTGTTCATAGTCACCTAAAAGCTAGATCATTTTTATTATTTTTGTGCTGTATTTTTGACACCTCTACTTTTTATAATCTGAGTTCATGGAATTTAAGTAAAACAAATTAGACTGTGTTTAAGAAATCAAACAATAATATATTCAGAAGAATAAGAAGAGAAATTCATCCCAGTCTCAATCATGTTCAACACATGTGCCCAAAGGCAAGAGATTTATGGAATCTAATTTTCAAATGTGATGAATTTTTAAAATTAATGATTTTTATTTTCCTGAGAATTAACTGAAATTAAATTTGTATAGATTTTAAATACAAAGATTAAGGTGAATTTAATATTTCTATAAAACTTCTCCTTTATGACATACTGTGTCATATTGATGATGATGAATATTAAATTTTCTGTATGCTCTTCCAAAAAATGCAACTTAAAATATTGTATAATAATTACAGAGATCATTATAACCTACTATATTTGAATTTAAAATCTGAAATGCCATAATAAGCTTCCTTAAATAGTAAGGTAAACAGACTCTTACTCATTAGTTATTCTCATTCATTTTCAAAAGCATCTGGTTTTGAAAATAAAAGTAAATAGTCATTGCAAGTGTGAAGACTGTTGGACACTTGCTAATATTAAAATGATGCCCTAAGTGACCACAGCTATGAAAAATTTGGTGGAGGATATTTATTTGGAAAAGCTCCAAAGAGAGTGGATAGAGAATATTTTTACTAGACAATATATCTTACTTGCTTTTTTAGGCAGAAATATGTGAAACTAAATTTTAAAGAAGTGAGGTTTTAAATATTCCTTTTACATTTGCACATACACAAACATATAAACAAATAAAGTGTATTAACACTAATCATTCATAATGTGTACAATATCAATATTTATTTATTATGGCTATTTTCCACGTAATGTAACTGGCTAAAGCATGTTTCACTTTTAGCAGAACTTTGTACAGGACTTGCAGAAGGTAAGTTACCCAACTGTGCTTTGTCTTAACTGTTTATTAAGTAGAATATTACATGTATTTTAAATGCCCCTTCTTTTCTTTGACATTATAAGGTTTTAGGTAAAACTAGCAACTATTATTGAAATGAAGATTGTATACATGATAGACTGGCTGGCTATTCAGATACAATTTCAGAATGCTTTCCCTGAATTACACATCTCCTGATATCTTCTATTTACAGCCTAAACTATTCTAATCTCTTATTTAGCATTTTTGTCCACCCAGGTACCCATTCATTTATTTATTCAATCCTTCCAAACCTCAGTCATTCTATTACATGTGGTCTAATAAATCTTATATTTTTGTATGGCAGAAAAATAATAACTTTGCAAATCCAAAATGACAAGTGGGAAAACATAATGTCTTAAATCAATTCTACTTGAAAGTTCTAGTTTGAAAGTAATTGCATTTCAAATATAAATGCCATCAGTAAAAGTCCATCATTATTTGTAAATAAATGTGTGTTTAATAAGCAACAAGTTGTTAATAATTTTCTTGATTTTATCTCATGACATAATGAAATATGGATTCCTTTCAGTAATTCAAACCAAATTCTGAGTTCAAGTGCAGATTCAGATATAGTAATAGGCAGTTCACTTGAATACCACAGAAATATATGTAAGAAAAAGAAATAGTAAAATGTTTGCAATAGTTGTTTTGAAGAATAAAGTAGCTGGCTAGGAAATTTGGAATTAAGGTCAATATTAAAAAACTTAAGCTGTGGATATAGGAAGATAATGAAGAATTAAAGTTATATTTAGGTAATATAATCCACAGTATACATTAATTTAATATTGAGATTGAGAAAAAAGATAAATCACATATAATTCTATTAATTGATTTATTTACTTCACAGTCAACAAAAATGCGTGAATGCTTCAGAAGGAAACCATTGCTAGAAGGTTGGCAAAGCAATAGAAATATTCCCCTATTTCCATATTATATAACATTTCTGATAGCAGCTGACCATCACTCAGTTGGCCTCTCCCTCTCATGGAAAGGTATACAAAGTGCTCATTAGTTCTTGCATGATTTCATACACAGCCTGGACCCTAACTGGCATTCATACAGTATGTACTGATTACACAAATTGAAAATAAAATTTGTACGTATATCTCAAATTGCAATGCACAAAGAGATCTGTAGTTGCCAGATATTGCATAGACCAAACCATCTTTTGCAATCCCTCTGAACACCTACAGTGGGGCTGCACTGATACCATGATACCAATAACTCTCTTGCGGGCTCACTACCCAACTCTGTAAAATGGCTGTTTTGTAGCTTCTCTTCTCTAACTAAAATTTTACCCATGCGCTCTCAATTACTGCCTTTGTGTTATGCTTCACTGATAAAATAGAAATGTTTATTAACTGATTTGTTATGAACAAATACGTTAATCTATAATCTGTCCCTTCTATAAGTACAATGGATTCCATGACCCTTTCTTTTTTTTTTTTTTTTTCCCAAGAACAATTTTATAGAGGTTATACCCCTTTTATTTTGCTTCAAAAAATATTATTCTCTGGGATCATTCCCCATAGTATATAACTGTGCTGTTCATTTTCCTTTCTTAAAAAAACAATTGAATAGTTGTAAACAAGCAAAAAATCCTCTTGACCTTCATCTTTTTCTACCTAGTGTCTCACATTTCATTTTCTCCCTGTGGCATAACACCTTTTAGACTTGGCTTAAATCATTACTTCCTCTTATTCTTCCTTTTATGCCATACAACAGTCTTCAGCATACTGTAATAGCACAAATTAAACCACTGTACTTATCAAAAAACCAGGAGTCTTCAACTCACCAAATCAAAAGTCAACATTGCCTTAATCTTAGCCTCACAGCAGCATTCCACATGGTTAAGGGATCTCTTCTTTTGGAACATTTTTTCTCATATCTTTCCCTTCTTCCTACAACACTCGCCAATCCCACTCATCTAATTTGCTTGCCGACTGCTTTTTGCTTAACAGTCAAGTCAGCCCGGATGCTTTTCTCTTCTCCAGCTACACTCTCTGCCAAAGGGATCTCATTCATTGTCATGCCTGACATGCGTGCTGTATGTCGATGATTCCCATGTTGATATATGCAGTCCTGAGCACTCTACTATGGATTCTCTTTTCCTCGAGTGTGGCATGGACGGCCTCTTCGTATAATTCACCTCAAATATCACCTCCTAAAATTTCCCATTTCCTCCAGACAATTAATAATCATCATACCTCACCCATACATAACACTTTTATACTATACATGATCATATATTACCTCCTCTAATTAAAATAACTATTTCTTATTTGTATGTAACTAAAATATGTTTCATACTAGCAGCTAACTCCTTTATCTCCTTTACAATTTTATCTATAGTTTCAAAGGAAGATTCCTAGCATGTTAGGTCCGTAATAAATGCTAGGAGAAGAAGAAGAGGAGGAGGAAGAAGGAGGAGAAGAAGAAGGAGAAGGAGAAGGAGAAGAAGAAGAAGCAGCAGAAGCAGCAGCAGCAGCAGCAGAAGCAGCAGCAGCTGTGGAGGAAGAAAAGGAAGAAGCAGAGGGAGGAAGGAGGAAGAGAGGGAATAAGGAGACAGAGGGGAGGGCAGTAAGGGAAAGGAGTAGAAGGGGGAGAAGGAGGAGGAGGAGGAGGAGGGGAGGAGGAATATGAAATGATTCTTTGCCTAGCTACCAAAACAGAGGAATTTAAACTGCTATTTACATCCAATAATAATTTGTCTTGATATATATATTACACAGGCAAATTTGTTTCTGCTGTATTTAAAGACCTATGTTCCAACCAATGTAGAAATACATCTTTAAATCCCTACCTGGAATGTTAAAAATGAAGAATCAGGAAATTTTATGATGAAATACGTATTTTTGAAATCATTGACTAATGAATCAAGTAATGAGGTAAAGTAGTTACAAACATGTTACCATAATTTAAAATGGCCATTACCAAACCACATTTATTTGTCACTCTTAAGTACATTTTTTAATTAAACATGCCATTATATTGTGCTACAAAAATTTTTTGAGTGAATGACTGAGAGAAGTTTTGCATAATCACAATTTCCCCTTTACTGGAAAGACATTTCTAATTTCCAAGACAGTCAACTCTTATTCTATCTTACGGAAACCATTCTCTCCTAAATGCATTATATTAAAAATATTAACAGCAACAACACTGGGTTTTGAAAAGTATCTTCAAATAAATGCAGCCATGCACATGTCTTAGTGGTTTCTTTCATGGTTTTGATATATACAGTAGAGTCTAATAAATTCACTTTTCCTATTTTTATATGCATATCTTGCAGGATTAGCTTACTTGCTTTTATGAAATACAAAAATATATTTTGTTTTGAAAAAGAAATTCTTGTAATTAAGAACCTAGTAAATGAACAAGCTAAAAAATTTATGAATTGCTCAAATAAACATGTCTAAACTTCTTTTACTCCTGTGAAGATTGAGGTATTTTAATAACATTAATATGTAGTATCATTTTTTCAAAATTTTTATGCATAGTCTAATTTTTCAAATATTTTACTTAAACATATTTGTAGAAGGAAGTTCTAGTATAGAACCTTAAATCATCTACTTCAAAACATATCCTTGAAATTTTAAACCTGCTTTCATTGTTAATATATCTTTGATGTAAATTAATATGCAATACCTTCTGGAGACATCTCTGGTACAATGGCCTCATAAGGTTCATCTAGGAATTTTGGTTCATTGTCATTGATATCCGAAACTTTGATGACAAACTCAGACTCAGGTTCCACAGCCCTTCCAGTAGTGATGTCTATTACCTGGGCTCTTAAGATGTAGAGGGATCGCTCCTCTCTATCAAGCTTCTGTATGGCATATATGTCACCTGTTCTTTCATCAATGATAAAAGTACTTCCAGCTCCAGCTCCCAAAAGCTTGTACTGGAAAGAATTGTTTCCATTGTCTAAATCAGATCTTAGCTGCAAAGGGAAAGAGGGATCATTTAGTTTCCAAACATCTGAAATGGGCAAATCAAAATAAAGATTTTCTTTTTATGTACGTTAATTATTCTCCAAGTTAATGATTTTATATTGTTTCCATATTACATTAAATGGGGTAAAATATTAAATGTCAAGATTAAAATCTATCACCAGGGAGAGGGGAGAGTGAATATTTAGTATAAAGAACTATACAAATTTCATTATTCTTAACAGAAACAATACTAATTGGACAGTAAAGCTTCTTTTGTAAGTTATGCACAAGATAGTTGGTCCAATTTTGATTTATAATTACATAATCAGTCACTAAAACCATACTCTCAAATATTTATACTAGACTGGATCCTAGAGACAGATAGAAAGATAATTTGGTGACATTTAAACACTGATGTTCTGTCTCTTAGCTGGAAATGTATGGAAACAAGAAAATATTCGGATGAAAATTAGGGTTCATAAAGATAAAAATAATCTTGACTGTTCTTTAGGTACTTATTATTTGTCATAAAATCTATAAATTGCTTTTTATTAGTGTTCTAAATTAATTCTCATATCAATACTATGAAATACATATTATTGATATGATCAATTTTTCTATAGAGAAGTGAGATTTTGTTTTACAAACTTTTTTCAGAGTCACATGATCATTGTGTAGATTTAGGATTTACACCACGAGGCTATCAAATCTTCTATGAGGCTGTCACATTTCAGATTTTCCACTGACAACAACTCAGTTACATGTTCTTTAGCCCTTGGGTTTTAGCCAGAAAGTATAAAACTTTCTTCTCAATCTATTCTACCTGATTATCAAATACACACTTTCAGCCTGTGCACTCATTTCCGTATTTTCAAAAGCAAAGTAAATTTGTTCATCATTCATACTGTTGAGGTATTATTTAGAATTTTTAATTTATCTGTAACAAAAAAAGTCTAATTCTGATATAGTTAAAATGATAGCATAGCTTTTCATATCTAAATTATTTGTATCTAGGAGAAGTATGTCATGGTTCCCTAATTGTGAATCCACATTTTCTTGATCCACCATTTATGAAAATGCTCTTATTCAAAGTAAGAGTTCCTCTACAAATTTACAAAGATAACCATGAAATCAGTTGCAAACAAATTCATGATTTTTCTGATGGCTCAAGTTATAATTTCTTATTCTGGATAAATTAATACACTTTCTATGTGGTTGTGGAGAAAATCTAAAGGTATCAGTAACTAATTTTGAATTTCAACAATGTGCCGAATATCAATGCCATGCAACAAAACAAATTGAGAAAAATAACATCCAAATTGTCTTTCCGCTAATACCTCTTTTAATTTGGTCGTTCTTAATTATTCATAAAAGAAATTCTTTATTCAATGATATAATAAATTGAGGAAAATAATTATACAATGAAATCAATATATCAAGTGAGCAATGTATGGCTCATATTTTTAAATGATATCATTTCAATATGGTTTGATAATGTATTTGATATTATAATGAAGATAAATTAAGTTTAGTAATAAATAAATATATTGCAAGTATATGTGCAGTGTAATTTTCAAAGACAAGTGAGATTGACATTTTTAAGACCCAGATTTAAGGGAAGATAGAAACAAAAACGAAAAAGCTTACTTGAACACCTGCCTTTTAGTGTCACAAAATGCATATGTTAAACACATTTCAATCAAATGGCCTCTAGTAATATACAATTTTCTATACTTCTATTCAAAAAGTATTGTCCTAATTAGGCTGCTACTATCGATTTGCTAAACAAACATCACTTCCAATTTTCACTTAATTGTATTTCCCAATCTTAATCGTTTTTCAAACAAATGGATCAAAGAGAGTTATCTTGAATACATCAGCTAAATTGTATATTTACTAACTCTTTTGACAAGCACCTAAACATTCATTATTGTTCTTTTTGAAATCAGTGATCTGCTTGTTTTAACTTGATGAATTCGTGTAGCAGAAAACCATTTTTCAGAGTAGTTTCATAAATATTTGTATAGAGCGGAAAAATAAGCAAAACCAATCACTGTGAGAAAGGAGGTAACCAGAGATTCACGTGGGGCATAGAAACAAACAAACTAGAAAATGAGACAGTCCCAGAGGTAGCCTGTGTTCCAATTACACTGATGCACTTTCCTACAACACCTTCTTTACTAAAAGTCAACAGCCGATTCTAGCCTGTCACCGCATTCAGTGATGGGACAGCTTTTGGTGCTCTGTGCAGTCTACTGTAAAGGTATCCAGAGACTCGGTTACCGAGTCAGCACCTAACTGTGGACCTTGTTAGTGCCAACTGTGCATACTATTTACCTGCAGTTCGAGTCAAAAATAAAAGGGGATGAGTAATATTACTTACAACGTGTGTGTGTGTGTGTGTGTGTTCACAATACACCCTCCTCCCTACACCTTTGGAAATACTTGCCTAAAATCCTAATCTAAGGTTTTGGTTGAATGTACTCATATACATTTGGCTGATAACATAGGTGAAGTTCTGTGGAATTCAGATCCCATGCTAACACTGCAGCTCTCCTGAAAGGGCTAGAAAAAGAGAGTTAATAAATTTTGAGTGCTTCACCCTTTGGGCCCAATTAAATTTTAGTGCCAGTTAATTAGCAGTTAAACTTATTTCAGTTCATTTATCTAGAGAAAAAGTCTTGTGGAAAAGGACATGATACTGTAATCACCTTTGTTTAAAGGAAAGCAAATAATAAAATACAAACCAAAAACATAAATAGAATTTGCTTTGTCTCATTAAGGAATTGTTCTTAAAATATATTCTTTTAAGAAAGTGAACATAATATTCCTTTTACTTTACTAATCAATTGAAGTGTGTAGGCTCCTGAAGCTACCTAACTGTAAAAGAATATGGTATTAACCTGCTTCATTAAAAATGAATGAGGGGTAAATCAACAGCTACTTAGCGTAATAGAAAATCAGGCTAAATACTGTTGGTAAATGATATTTGTCTCACTGTGACTGCTTAGATCCATTACCAAAAATAACACCATCAAGTTTCCAGATGTTGAAAGTGAGGGCTGCATTTTCCTAAGGGATACTAACGTGAAATTTAAAAACCAGAGCTATCCCTCTTCAAGATTTTAGTGGATGTTTTAGGTGCTTGCAAATCTGAAACAATTATTGATGTGATGTTTGAAGCTTTTCAGTGGTTTCACTGTCAAAATGTGGAACTCATCAAATCTCCAAACTTCTCCAACATATTTATTTACATTGTTGTGCTATTTACTGTAACATTTTAAATAAATAAGTACCTGGCCGACGTGATGACTAGTCGTATTCATTTCCTCTGGTACAAAAAATTGGTTCCACACCCAGCCACGCTTCACTCTCAGATGAGATCCCGCTAGCTGCTGGACTTTCTTTGTTTGAGAGTTTTCTGTTGCTCCAAGACAAGGCCATAGGAGAGGAATTCCCAACATAAAAGGCAGCAGTAAATAACAATTCATTGTGTTGACTCTTGATTCCAACTGTTACTCTTCAGAGAAACAGGATGTCACAAACAAAAATCTTGCTTGCTTTTATAATCTTTTTTTTGCTCTTGTGTATCTTCTATATACCTAAAGTGTCAGAAACAAAATTTGACATTTTAAAATAACATTTTCTCACATAATTACTAAAGACAGGTTACAACTTCTGCATATGACAAAAATGGAATAAAAATATACATTTAATTTATCTTCCAATTAAGCTGGCTAATTATATTTTGTAGCTCAGTAATAATTTGATTAGAATAATTATGAATTTCCACTCAGGCACTGCTAGTTTTAAACTGTAGTCATAAATCTGCCTGAAGGTTGAAAGATTGCTCTGGGAGTCTCCTTGATTGACAGCTGACATTGAGATAGACTTCCTTTTAATTTGACTTGCTTACTTTCTCCATTCTTTCTCAGTAAAACTCAAACTATCTTATTAAAGCAACAGTCAATCCAGGAGGAAAAAATGTCATATTTTTCCTCTTTATATTTGATAGAGATAAGCTTCCTCAACCAATTTCCCAAATTATGATATTTGATGTAGGAATTAAATAGACAAAATGGCAATTCAGCTTAAAACTGGTGAATTCAATAATCAGTTATACTGATGCTGTAAAACACTAAGTAGAAAGCTTGTGCAAGATATTTACTCTTTTTAAATGTCAAAGATATGGGGAAGAAGTGTTTATCAGCTTAACAAAAAAATCATCTTAAGACAATAAATATAAAATTATAGTGCCTGGGTAAGAATGGGTGAATGTTTATAATATTTAAGAATGATATGAGATGTATCTTCTATTATTTAAATACTAAAATAAGACTCTGCCTACTGAGTTTTACATTTAAACTTTCCATTGACCAAGGCTGTCTCTTTATGATGGGTAATTCTAATCCTTACATGTAATTTAATAGTTTGCATTTCCAACATCTACATCCAGCCAAATTTGATGTATTTCCTTGGCTTCCATGAAGAAAAAATAATTTTGTAAGCTTCACAATGGAGTTTAATATAATATAATCAACAGAAAAGCCAGAGTTCATGTTAGGACTTTTTCTGCATGATTATGTTTTGAATCTTCTGCATGTATTTTTGAATGACTCCTTAGAGATTTTTTAGGTCTTTGGCTCGTGTTAAGAAGAGTTGTTAAAAAACACCTAATTAAGAAAGTACACAGGGATTCTGTGGTCCCGGTGTACTCTCTTTAAGCAGATGTACTCCTTGTTAAAAGTTTACTTAATGAAGGTCATAGAGAAATTCAGCTGAGGTGAAAAAGGTGAAATTTATCTTTATGTTACGTATTTGAAATTCAGATAAATCTGTGCTTTAGAAATTGCTAAAATATGTATTTTCGGTAGCTGATGAATAACAATATTTGGAACTGGTACCATATTATTCATGAGAAAGATACTTTTTATAAGTTTGGCAAATTATCACCAACACTGATATGAAGTTAGCTGGCTGTGTTTCAGTGAATATAATTTTTGTGAACTTTATATTATGGTATTTTGATACATATAAAGATAGATAAAATAGTGTAATGAATACCTAAGTATCATTACCCTGCTTCAGTAATTACCAACATATGGTCAATATTGCGTCATCTCTATTCATGCTCACTTTTTAATATTAAAACCAATTTCAAATTCATATCATTTTAACCACTGAAGACACACACACACACACACACAAACATACATAAGTGTAAATACTACATAAGTGTGCGTACACACCCTTAAAAATCAAAGTCAAAGTTTAAAATTAAGAAAAAGTTTTTAATATAACAAAATATTCATAGTGTTCAAATCAAAAATCTTTGTCTTTGAATTAAGACTTAAATATGTTCACACAATACGGTTTTTTGATACATTTCTCAAGTCTCATTTGGTCTACAGATTTCCTCTGTTTCTAATTTTTCTTTTCATTTATATGCTGAAGAGTCAAGGTTATTTGTCCTATAGAGTTTCACATAGTCTGAATTTTGATAATTGTATCACTGTTGTGTGATTCAGTATGTTTCTTTATCCTCCATGTTTTAAATAAATGTTTAGGGGCTTGATTAGATGTAATATAAAATATTCATCAAACATATTCATAGCCAATTCCCATTGCATGACATCTTTAGTAGACTAGGATACAAAATATATGTTCAAGAAACCAGAAGAAAGTTTGAACGTGTTAAGTAGAACAATTGAAAATAAAATAAAGATTAAACTTTTAGAGAATAATACTACAATGTTTGTGATGAAATACACTGCATATGATTAATGGCATATTATTCACACTGAGAAAAAAGATTGAAGACAGAAGTATAAATCATCTGAAAAAACATAATGAGAAAATGTTAAAAAATTAAAAATGAACAAACTATCATTGAGTTGTGAGACAATTTCAAATATTCTCATTTATGTACAATTGCAGTTTCTAGAACCAATGAAATTTAGAAACTCATACATGCAAAATGCTTAACAAAACTTAAGCGCAGATATTAAAAAATATTATACCAAGGTGCATCATGATTAAATTACTCAAAACCATTAATAATGAGAAAATCTGAAAGGTAGTCAACGGCATGTTATATACAGAATAACAAAGATGAAGTTGATAGCAGATGCCTCATCTCAAACAATACATGCCAAATGACAGTGCAGAAACATTTTTAAAGTATTGAAAATGAAAAGAAATCAATTTAAGTGAGATTTTCTCAAACAACTACAGTGATTTTTATAAAGAGATCAGCTGAATTGAAAGAGAAGAAACTGAGCTGTCAGGTATTGGAGAAGCTAATTCAAAGAACAAGTAAAAAGTTAAAGAGGTAAGCCTTTAGACACTTACTGCAATGGTATAAGCAAGAAGTTAAAGCCAAAGAAATGTTGCATCTCCTTTTTCCATTTCCTCCATGGAACAACACTAATTGAATCAGAGGATAAGCACAGATGTGTGGATCACTCCATTATAATGGTAGTGCTACAAGCAACTAAGTTAATTTTATGGACTCTGGGGTCAGGGGAGTGCAAGGGGAGTGTTAAGAGTGAAAAAGTACTAAGTACATTGCCAGAGTGGGAAACGGTCTTCAAGGTTTCACCCACTTTAGTCGAAAAGGAGATGCTTGAGAAATGCATCAGATGAGAAATCTCATCAGAAATGCTTGAGAAAGAGCTCTGTCCAAGGCCACAGATAAAGCCCTCTTACACTTTAACCCTGGGGCTAGGAATGTAAACACAGAAGAGCGTGACCTAACAGAAGGGGCAGTCTCCTTGACTGCAACTCCCTCCAGAGAGTGCAGTGCACTGGTTGTGCATCAAATCTGGTGTGACAAGGGAATGTTTTCGCAGTGAGTACTGTACTGCCAGGTCAAGTCTTTATAGCTGCCTATAGCCAGGCCTGAACAAATCACATTTGTTACCCCAAAGCCATATTCCTAATCTTTGGTAAAGGAAAGTGGGATGAAGACTCTTTTTGGTGTACAGCATCAGCACACAAGGGGAACTACAATACAATAAATGACTAAAGAAGTCCTTCAAGAAAAAATAAAATAATACTAGAAAGAAATCTGGATCTATGCAAAAATAGAATCACCAGAAATGGAAGGCATATCAGTAAATAGAAAGACCTTTTTTAATTTTATTATCATTAAAGGATAATTGGCTGTTAAAGCAAAAATAATAACAAAGGATTGTGAGGCATACATCATTTGTAGAAGTAAAATGTAAGAAATTAATAGCATAAAGGTTAGGAATATGCTATTTTAAACTCTATAAACCATATATAAAGTGGTATGATATAACTTAAAATAGATTACAATAAGGGTACATATGCATACAACAAATCTAAAGCAACTACTAAAATAAAGTAACAGAATTTACTACAGGCTACAAAATAGATAAAACTGAAGCCTAAAGAATACTCAATCCAAAGAAGAAATAAATGAAAAAAGTGAGCAAAAGACAGGTGAAAAAAAACATACAAGTAACAAAGTGGTATGTTTAATATTAATCATCATAATAATCACACTAAATATGAATGGGATAAAAAAACAAAGTATGACATAAAGATTATTAGATTTTTAAAAAGACTCAACAATATGTCTTTAGAAATGATTTAAAATATAAAGGTTCAGTAGGTAAGAATTTAAAGAATGAAAAACACATATCTTGATAACTCTAGTCAAAAGAAAGCTACAATGGCCATAATATTAGATAATGTAGATTTTGGGGCAAAGAATATTAGCAATGATAAACAATATCATTTCATAATAATAAATTTCATAATTATAAGTGATAAACAATGTCATTTCATAATTATAAATGATAAAGCCATTTTATAATATAAAACAATATCATTTTATAAGAATTATGTCAATTCATTAACAGGGCACAACTATTCTAAATGTTTACACACTTAATAACAATGCCTCAAAATACATGAAATAAAAGATGAAATAAAACCTTATTGTATTACAAGAAGAAACAGACAAATCTATAATGCAAATTGATTCATTTCTATTCAACATTATACTGAAAATTCTATCCAATGAAATAAGAAATTAGAAGCATCTAGATTAAAAAGATGAAATAAAAATATGTTTATTTATACAGGGCATAATTACACATATAGAAAATCTTATGAAATCTATAAAAATACTGGTAAAATGTACAGGTAATTTTAGCAGGGTTGGATGATACAAGGTCAATATTAAAATCAATTATATTTCTATTTACTAGCAATGCATAATCAAAATTTAAAATTTATACAACAGTACATTTTATAATAATATAAAGAATTCAAAGATTGTGACATAACTCTACCAAAAAAATATGCAATACCTCTCTATTGAACACTATAAAATACTGCTAAGAGGAATCAAGAAAAATCAATATAATTGGAGATATTTATTATGATACTGGACCAGAAAACTCAAAATGGTTAAAAATGTCAATTCTCTCCAAAGTGTTGTATAAACACAATTTTAAAAATACAGCTAAATTAAAATTAAAACATAAAATAAAATTTCAAACAGGTATTTTTATAAAACTTGCATGCTCATTCTATAATTATATATGCAAAAGCATAGGGCTTAGAATAA